ATACCTCTGATGTGTAACATTCCCATTGCAAAATCTGCAGGTGGAATCTAACTCATGGTCAATTTGGGAATTTGATACCTGGGGTACTGGCATCCTGGGGAGAATTGCATTTCAGTGTTTGTGTACTATATGGAAGGTTTTATTTTATTTTATTTTATTTTTTTGGAGACAGAGTCTCACTTTGTTGCCCAGGCTAGAGTGAGTGCCGTGGCGTCAGCCTAGCTCACAGCAACCTCAATCTCCTGGGCTCAAGCCATCCTCCTGCCTCAGCCTCCCGAGTAGCTGGGACTACAGGCATGGGCCACCATGCCTGGCTAATTTTCTATATAATATTATTAGTTGGCCAATCAATTTCTTTCTATTGTAGTAGAGACAGGGTCTCGCTCTTGCTCAGGCTGGTTTCGAACTCCTGACCTCGAGCGATCCGCCTGCCTCAGCCTTCAGAGTGCTGGGATTACAGGCGTGAGCCACCGCACCCTGGCCTATATGGAAGGTTTTATTTTGCAGGTGAGGATATCAAGACTTCGAGAGGTTGAGTGACAGTGTTGGTGTGGGGGGTCCCAGAATGAAAAGAAGAAAATATGGAGGACTCTAAAATTGATGTAAAAACTCTGAACAAACTAGCTTTGTGCAGTGGCAGTATCGTAGCCAATGGGGTTTATCCACAGCACGATTATTGCAAATTGAAAACTCTGAACAAACTTCTGGCTAATCCCTGAAACACACAGACTTAGGGAAGACTGCAAACAGGCAAGCTGGAGAGAAAAGAACTAGCCAAGACTTGGCTGCCAACCAAGAGGCCTAGCTTACAGTTCAACTGCAAACAGTTAACTGTGTGCTAAAACAAAAACATCAAGATCCTCAGGGCGAATATAATCTCTCCCCAGGAGATTGAGGTTGCTGTGAGCTAGGCTGACGCCACGGCACTCACTCTAGCCTGGGCAACAAAGTGAGACTCTGTCTCCAAAAAAATAAAATAAAATAAAATAAAACCTTCCATATAGTACACAAACACTGAAATGCAATTCTCCCCAGGATGCCAGTACCCCAGGTATCAAATTCCCAAATTGACCATGAGTTAGATTCCACCTGCAGATTTTGCAATGGGAATGTTACACATCAGAGGTATGACTCTCAGCTCTTGAATCAGATCAAGGATAATAAAAAAAAGGAGGTCAGGGGGTGAAGAGGAAAAATTGCTGAAGCAATTTCTTTAGAAAGAATGATTGCCACAGTCCTTGTGGGGGCAGGGCCAGCAGAAGCACTCTGCTTCAACTCAGAGCTAGCAAGGAGGGCTCTGGTGGCACTTGGGTATGTTTGCTGCTATTGGAAGACACCAATGGGCTTTGACGAGAAGGTAGAATGGCTAGGTTGAGATCAGTCTGCACTTCCAGAATTGTTGGGGTAAGAGATGTGTAATTGCCTTTCATAAACCATATGTTGCTTAAGAGAGAGAGAGAACCAATGTGGGGTCATGCTGGGTTCTGTTCAGTAGAGTGATCCGGAGGGCCAGAGGACCCCTACAGCAGGAAGAGAAAAGAGGTGGCCTCCAGATTCTCAGGGGCTGAGAGAGGAGTAGCAAGCGATCACCCAGAGTAGAGAAGCATCTACTTGGATCAAGAGGTAGGCACAGGAAAGAAGGTACCAGAAATCAGAATCTCTAGAAAAGCCACTTCAGTGTCCAAGGAAAGACAAGTTAGTTCTTCTGCTCGGGCTTCACCCAGGCAGAGGACCAAGGTGAAGCCACCCGCCAGGTAAGAGCAGGATTTATCCTTCCGCCTGGCCCCTGATGGAGATACTGCCACTAGGGTGCTGGGCAGGAGGTAAGAGAGAGAAAAGAGCGCAAGGGTGAATCCTACTCTTCTTTAAACACAGGCAGCTGCCACCTGCTGCCCTCATCTTGGAGCACAAGGAGAAATCTTACCTTTGAATGAAGCTGGAAGCATTTTAACTCATAATGGTCACATTCTAAATGCTACTTTGAGGCCGGGAGGGTGTGGTGGCTCACGCCTGCAATCCTAGCACTCTGGGAGGCCGAGGCGGGAGGATTGCTCAAAGTCAGGAGTTCGAAACCAGCCTGAGCAAGAACTAGACCCCGTCTCTACTAAAAATAGAAAGAAATTAATTGGCCAACTAAAAATATATAGAAAAAAAATTAGCCGGGCCTGGTGGCGCATGCCTGTAGTCCCAGCTACTCGGGAGGCTGAGGCAGGAGGATTGCTTGAGCCCAGGAGTTTGAGGTTGCTGTGAGCTGTGATGAAGCTACTGCACTCTAGCTGGGGCAACAGAAACAGACTCTGTCTCAAAAAAAAAAAAAAAAAAAAATCTGTGCTAACAGATATTTTGTCATATCCCAACATGTAGAGTTTTCAAGAAGTGGATTTCAGATCAGAAAAGATAAGTGAGAAACAGCATTTGTTTAGAATCTACCAGCCCAAATATTTAAATATATAAACAGGCGTTGACTAAGAATCATTTGTAATAATCAAAACATAATGTATTTTGCCATCGGATTTAAAATATAGTCACTAGCTAATCTTCTCCTGCTCTGAATGGAAATTTTAGAAAATCCCATGACTTTTCTGTTCATTCTTGGGAAGAGAAAGTCTTATCATCACTCCAAATACAGCCTCAAAGTAGCATTTATTTTATTTATTTATTTATTTTTGAGACAGAGTCTCATTCTGTTCCTGGTAGAGTACCGTGGCGTCAGCCTAGCTCACTTTGAGCAATCTGCCCACCTCGGCCTCCCAGAGCGCTAGGATTACAGGCGTGAGCCACCTCGCCCGGCCTATTAGCACAGATATTAATATTTTATTCTGTATGGGAAGAAACTGCCAGGAACCTCCTTTTCCTGAATCCGTGAGCATGTCTTAGTTTGGAAAATGAACAGCCGTTTTGAAAGCCTAAGATGCAGTGGCTGGAATTTCCCAGGGTGTACCATGTCACCTCAAAGGACGGGACAGTCGCCTGACCAGGTTCCGTGCCTGTCGCCGGAAAAGGTGCTGGCATCTTTACACAGAAGGCCTTTCCTCTCTGCAGTAATGTATGTTTTTCCATTTTTAGATTGTTAAATCCCTCCAGGTGGATTTTGGGTTCCTCAAACAACTGCTTCAGTTGAAGTTTGAGGACAGACTTAAAGAGGAGTCTTTGAGTCTCTTCACTGTGCTACACGACAGGATCATGGAGGTTGAAAAACACCATCAACGGGTAGGTGTTCTCTCGTTTCCTCTGTTTTATGTGTGGACTGACCTTTTGCTTTGATGTGTATGTGCTGCAGTTTTGAATTTAGAACTTATGAGGGCAATTTAATTTACATAGGTTATGCCTCATGTAGTAGTTAATACATACATAGAGTTTTGCTATGTGTCAGAAACTTTTGTAAGTACTTGGCATATGGACTTATATAATCCTTACCCTGACCTTATGGAGTAGGTAAAATTCTTTCCCCTCTTTTACAGACGAGAAAACTGGGGCACACAAAGTTTAATTAACTTGCTCAAGGTCACCAGTTAAAAAAACAGCAGAGCTTAGGTTCCAGGCCAGACAGCTTGATGCTTGAGTTCCTGTTCTTTAACTATGGTTTCATATCATCCTATTTGTTCTTCAACAGCTATGTGGGAGCCAAAGACACAAAAACTGCTGCTTCAAGGAATTTCCTAAAATTTTTGGTCAGAGTAGCATACTTATCTGTTATTAGCAAGCATCACTATTATTTTGATGCTATTAAAAAAAAATAACCCTCCAGTTTTGTTTTTATTTTTAAGTTTTGGAGAAATGCTATTTTATTGAAAATATCTGCTGCTTACATTTTGTATTATGAGAATTGAGACAAGCATTTACAGCCAAGAAAGGAGGAGAGGAAGAGGGGGCCATGTTCAGGAGTTAGAGAGTTAGAGGTAGAAAAACTCTATCTTTTGCTAACTACACCATACCAAGGACTGTGCTAAGCCTTTTAAATATATTTACTCTGTAAGTCCCTCAAAATCCTAAAATGGAAATTCTATTATCCCTGATCTACGGATAAACCGAGCTTGCCAAGGTTAAGTAACTTGCTGAAGATCAGACAGTAAGGGGCACAGTGATATTTAAATTCAACCCTATCTGTCTCTAAGGCCTGTTTGTTGTTGACACTCCATGCTGGAATCAGAATTGATATCAGAATCAAAGATATTTTTTAAACATGTACTATCTTTCATTATTTTCCCAAACAGATACAATCAAATTATTTGATTAATCAGAAAATAACTCTAGTATATAAATAAGCCACTCCCGATTTCCTTTCGTGGGCATATCCCATTCAAAAAAGCACAAGTATGAGAAGATATGAATCACAAATGGATTTTACTACTCTTAAAAGCAGTTCTAGGAAGGCACTAAAAGACTTTACTTGATATGTAAGATGAAATGAAGTGTTCAAGTTGTATGTATTTTATCGATATGATCTCTCTATTGCTTTTGGTTAAGTATAAGTAAAAATTGAATGTGTTATAATAGCCATAGTGAGGAAGAAATGATTATAAATTGAAGTTTTCAACAGATTGTGATGATTTCGATGATATTATTTTTTTAGCATGAGTCCCTCCCTCGTAAGTGTGAGTCATATTTGGAAATACATTGTGGTGCTTATTGTATTTATTTTTGATTTTCAGAATGAGGATCACATGAGAAAATGCTTCTATCAGCAGTTAGCTGATGCCATAGCTATCCTGAAAGGACTGTACAAGGTGGGTTTTTGGTGGCATCGTGGGCGAGGCTAGGTTCCTGTGAGTGCATCGAGTGGCGGTCACTTTGGGTTCCCAGTCTGTCTTTTTAGCTTTGAAGGTCTGTTTCCTCAATTTTCAGGTCATCCCAGAGGGATCAGGCCTAAGACTATTCCATGCTCATGTTAAATTTACCAAAGTAGTAACCTTTATGATGACAGATCAAACTTTTCAGAAACTGGAAAATTCTATTCTGGTATCCAAGCACCTGGGCAGGTATGAAAGTAATCCAAAGTTTGTTTGGTGAGGACACGGTTGGGTAGAAGAAAGTCAGACCGTCCTAAGAGAGATCTCATGGGGTCTGTGGTTAATTCCAGTGAATAGCCCCTGACCCCGGATGGAAGAACTTTTCTAATGATGGGGACACTTCTATCTGCCAGACATAGTGCTTCCCTCCTCTTCACAATGGGAAAATTCATATTTTCAATTAATATTTTTAGAATTAGTAAGGACCTTGTGCTTCTTCTAGTATTTATAACTATAATCTTGGCCGGGTGTGGTGGCTCACGCCTGTAATCCTAGCACTCTGGGAAGCTGAGGCAGGAGGATCACTTGAGGTCAGGAGTTTGAAACCAGCCTGAGCAAGAGCGAGACCCCGTCTCTACTAAAAATAGAAAGAAATTAATTGGCCAACTAAAACTATATGGAAAAAAATTAGCTGGGCATGGTGGCGCATGCCTGTAGTCCCAGCTACTTGGGAGGCTGAGGCAGGAGGATGGCTTGAACCCAGGAGTTGGAGGTTGCTGTGAGCTAGGCTGATGCCATGGCACTCTAGCCAGGGCAACACAGTGAGACTCTGTCTCAAAAAAAAACAAAAACAAAAACAAAAAAACCCCAATATAATCTCACCTTTGATTTCAATATACTTCCAGAAAGAAATATTTTATACTTCCAGCCAATTGCACACTGATTGCATATGTCTTTCCATTAGCGCTGAGCACATTTGTGGTTAATAATGTCGTTGCTTAAGTGTCCCTGTTCCGTGCCAGGCTGTACGCCTTGTGAGGGAAGGGATGTCGTCTGCCTTCCTGCTGTGGCACTGTCCCTCTGTCCCGTGCCTGGTGCATGATTAACAACCCCAGCTACTAATATTGCTAAATGCATGAATGGTTACCTCTACCTGTAGCAGACAGTGGTGCTGCTTGCTAAACATCATTCTCCCCACTCCTTTTTCTTACTAGCAGAGGCTTTTCCTACGACAGAAGCCAAAATGTTAGATTCCTTCTCTCCCAGGTTGCTTCTCAGCTATGACGCAGGCGTGAGCAAAGTCAGGTCCCTGACCAGTGGGACCTGAGTCTGAGGTGGCCGTGAGGTTTTGGGGGCAGGTTACTCTTCCTAATTAAAAGGGACTCTTTGATCAGATGGATTGTAAAGCACTGTAAAAAAAAAAAGTAAAGAAAATATTAAATTTTTATATAAAAAATAATTTATTAAAATAAAAAATAAAATAGAAGGGACTCATGGGTGGGAACGTCTTTCTTTTTCTTTGCTTGACATTGTTACGTCTCCTTCTGATTCTTGGAATCGCTGTCGCGCACTGGGACCAAGGACTGAGATGCTCTAGATGTGTGAGATGGCAAAGAGGAAAGACACAGAGCAGCAGGGTCCCTGGTGACATCATGAGCAATAAAGTAACCTGGACTTGCCCTACCTCTTGCCCGTTTATTCATGAGATGATAGCCCCTCGGTGTTCAGGCCACTGTTAGTTGGCTGTTAGTTACTTGCAGGGAAAACATCCCGGGGGGGGTTGCTCTGTCAGCAGCCCTTGTGACTCTGTGCCGTCGTCCTGCTTGCAAAGTTGGCCTTGACACCATCTCCCACTCACCTGCTCTTCTGCAACATTGCCTTGCTTCTGTCTGATCAAAGGTGAAGTCTAATTCCCCTCCCTTGACTCGAAGCTGGCCTTAGTGACTTGCTTATAAGCACAGGATGTGGAGGAAGGGAAGCCACGCAACTGCCAAGTCGAGGGCCAAAGAAACCGTGCAGCTTCAGCCTTATAATCTCGGAATGTTTGCCCTTTGGAGCCCGTTCCAGGGCAGTGGGGTGGGCGTGGGTGCAGGGTTCCAGGGGGTTACTTCTAGTTCATTCTTACACTGGAAGGCTGGCCCTTTGGTGTCCCAACTTTAACGGGGTGGTCTCCCATTATCTAGAATCATGGCTCTGAAGAGACCTATGAGTGGTCTCTTCTCCCCTTTGCCCTGTACAGAGTTGCAAGCCAAAGCTCAAATTTACCTGGTTTAGCAATGCCCTGCAAATGAGGCCAGCTCAGTGCTGTGCATACTTCCCTGGGTTTCCGCATTTGCTTAACCTGGGTCTAAATATTCCTTACTTCCTTGTCAGCTCATAGATGCATTGAGTCTGTCTTATCCAGAATCCTTTTTGTCTGCAGGGGGAGGGTAAGTAAGAATTCTCTGATTTTTTAAAAACATGCTTTTATAGTCCTTTGGGTCTTCAGCAATTTCTGGGACAGTAATGCATTTCTAATGTGTATCAAATGTTCAAAAAATATGGCTGAATAATGAATATCACTCTTTGTATATACTTTTTATACTTCTAGGGACAGAAAATCATGACAGAATTAAATTCTTCATGTTTATCAGTTTTTCATAAACATGTGCTGGCTAGATATGCTTAACCAACAGTGTATTAATTGTGGTTAGTTGCCTTATCTAATGAAAAATTTGTTTATATTAAATTAAAGTCATTATTTGAATCTTTCCTTTGGCTTGTTGGCATCGCCTTGATCCATGACCTCAGACAGCCTTCCTAATCCTGGCCACCCAGTTTGCCAAGGCTTAGTCATAAGAAAGAAGAGAAGAGAGTTGTAGATACAACCCAAGTATTGTGTACACTTTCGGTAGGGAGGGCAACGCAAACGACTCTCTGCTGCCCTCTGGAGACCAGTTAAGGACACAAGCACCTGCACTTTTTTTTTCAGCTAAGGAGCAAGTTTCTAAATCCATTTACTTTTTGCTCCCAACCAACAGAATACAGCAAAGATGGAGGGCTGTATGTGATTTATGTTCCATAAGAGTATAGCAGCGTTCTTGCTAGAGTCTCTCTCTCCTCTGTTGGCTTGGAGGAAGCAAGAGGCTATGTTGGGAGACTCCACGTGGCAAAGAACTGAGGTCAGCAAGAAACTGAAGCCCTCAGTCCTGTAGCTGCAAGAATAGGAACTCTTCCAACAGCCTGAGCGAGCTGGGAAGCAGACCCTTTCCCAGTTGAGCCTCAGATAAGACCACAGCCCCAAACAACACCGAATTACAGACTTGTAATCAGGACCCTGAGCAGAAGCTGCACATGAAATTGTAAGATAATAAATGTGTGTGTGTTTTATGCCACTGCATGTGTGGTAAACTGTTACTCAGCAATAAATAACAAATCTGCCTGCATATTCACTGAGCCATCAAAGCCTGCCCATTTTACCTCTTAAATCCATCTCTAATTTTCTTGCCTCTGAACTAGTTCAGACCATCAGCATCACTTGCCTGGCCTGTGGCTGTTGCCTTCTCATCCCTTCTGGAATTTATTAAGTCCATCATCTGCCCAGCTATCTGAGCTGTCTTTCCAAACCCAAGACTGATCACATCCTGCCCCCGTTTAAATCCTTTAGTGTTTCCTTCATACCTGTAGGATAAAGTTCAAGCCCCTTAGGAGGGCACAGAACACCCTTACACTTTTACCTCTTTCCATTTCTTGGCTAAAAATTTTACAGGCCAGCAACGCTAAGCGGTCACCTGCCTCTCTCTGCACATCTTAAGTTGTTAGTTGCCTCCCTGGAATTTTCACGTGATGTTCCTCCTTGCTCGTTCTCTCTGAATAATGGGCATGCTGAACTGTATCACATTTATTCATTACATATTGATCTTTCCCTAGACTGTCCCTGGAGGGCAGGGGCTGAGTCGTATTCCTCTCTTCACTCTTCTCCTAGCAGAGAGCTGTGTACATAACAGAACTCAGTTGTTGATCCATTTATCCATCATCTGATTTTGTAGCAGAGACACAAGCAGTCCTTGCACTCGAGTTGTTCCGTGATCAAGACAGAGAAGAAAGTCACAATTATAGTCCACATCAGAGGTTTGCACCTAATGGTTACCCACCTCTTCCTCACAGTTTGGGAGACTAGTTAAGGAAGACTTTCGAGAGAAGCTAATTCCTGTGCTGAGCCTTGGAGGATGATTCATGTTTGGGGAAGAAAGGAACAAAACAGAGAACGTGGTCTATTTACCAGCAGGGAGGCATTGGGTACGATGCACAGCACAGAGAACTGACAGTGGTTTGCTACAGCTGGAAGACAAAAGATCTGCAGAAAGTGGTGAGAGGTGAAACAGGAAAGTTAAGCCAAGGCATTTATATTTTATCTCAAAGACATCAAAGAATCATTTCAGAATTCTAAGCAGTTTTAAAACTTTTTTTGGAGAGATGGCGTCTTACTGTTGTCCAGGCTGGTCTCGAACTCCTGGCCTCAAGCAATCCTCCTGCCTTGGCCTCCCGAAGTGCTTGAATTACAAGCATTAAGCCACCACGCCTGCCCCCAAGCAATTTTTATGACATGCTTAGATTTGCAACTTTGAAAGATAGAAATTATTGCATATTTATGAGACTCAATAAATAAGACCCTACTTCCCCACAAAAGTTCTAGACAGGTTGAAAATACAGCTAAGAAAATGTCAAATGGAGGCCACCCGTTTGCTTGACAAAGCAGGTACGGGAGAAGGTGGCAGGCTACCTGATGTTAAACCCCAGAATTGGGCAGACTCAACCCCATCACGGGCAGCAGTGGGCACAGGCAGTCTCCTCCTGCCAGGGCAAAGCATGAGCTCCTGCAGCCATTGCCCCAAAGAAAAAGGGGGGCAGGCAGGGCTTGGCCAATGTATGACCAAATGTCTTCTTTCAAAGTGAATAATTCCAAGGTGAATCATTGAGTGGAGAGAAGCCAAGAATGTTACACTGAAGGATGTCAC